AGAGACACCCAGACTCAGGGCTTGAACCCAGGATCTCAGCGTCCCCTCTAAGAGAGAGAGAGCGAGACACCCAGACTCAGGGCTTGAACCCAGGATCTCAGCATCTCCCCTGAGAGAGAGACACGCACACCCAGGGCTTGAACCCAGCATCTCAGCTTACCCCCTGAGAGAGAGACACCCAGACTCAGGGCTTGAACCCAGGGTCTCAGCGTACCCCCTGAGAGAGAGAGAGACACCCAGACTCAGGGCTTGAATCCAGGATCTCAGCATCTCCCCTGAGAGAGAGAGACACCCAGACTCAGGGCTTGAACCCAGGATCTCAACCTCCCCCCTGAGAGAGAGAGAGAGACACCCAGACTCAGGGCTTGAACCCAGGATCTCAGCATCTCCCCTGAGAGAGAGAGAGACACACACACAGACTCAGGGCTTGAACCCAGGATCTCAGCGTCCCCCCCCCTGAGAGAGAGAGAGACACCCAGACTCAGGGCTTGAATCCAGGATCTCAGCGTCCCCCCTGAGAGAGAGAGAGAGACACCCAGACTCAGGGCTTGAACCCAGGATCTCAGCATCCCCTCTGAGAGAGAGAGACACCCAGACTCAGGGCTTGAACCCAGGATCTCAGCATCTCCCCTGAGAGAGAGAGAGACACGCACACCCAGGGCTTGAACCCAGCATCTCAGCGTACCCCCTGAGAGAGAGACACCCAGACTCAGGGCTTGAACCCAGGGTCTCAGCGTACCCCCTGAGAGAGAGACACCCAGACTCAGGGCTTGAATCCAGGATCTCAGCGTCTCCCCTGAGAGAGAGAGACACCCAGACTCAGGGCTTGAACCCATGATCTCAACCTCCCCCCTGAGAGAGAGAGACACACAGACTCAGGGCTTGAACCCAGGATCTCAGCATCCCCCCTGAGAGAGAGAGAGAGACACCCAGACTCAGGGCTTGAACCCAGGATCTCAGCATCTCCCCTGAGAGAGAGAGACACACACAGACTCAGGGCTTGAACCCAGGATCTCCGCGTCCCCCCCCTGAGAGAGAGACACCCAGACTCAGGGCTTGAACCCAGGATCTCAGCATCCCCCCTGAGAGAGAGAGAGATAGACACCCAGACTCAGGGCTTGAACCCAGCATCTCAGCGTCCCCCCTGAGAGAGAGAGAGAGACACCCAGACTCAGGGCTTGAATCCAGGATCTCAGCGTCCCCCCTGAGAGAGAGACACCCAGACTCAGGGCTTGAACCCAGGATCTCAGCGTCCCCTCTAAGAGAGAGAGAGCGAGACACCCAGACTCAGGGCTTGAACCCAGGATCTCAGCATCTCCCCTGAGAGAGAGACACGCACACCCAGGGCTTGAACCCAGCATCTCAGCTTACCCCCTGAGAGAGAGACACTCAGACTCAGGGCTTGAACCCAGGGTCTCAGCGTACCCCCTGAGAGAGAGAGAGACACCCAGACTCAGGGCTTGAATCCAGGATCTCAGCATCTCCCCTGAGAGAGAGAGACACCCAGACTCAGGGCTTGAACCCAGGATCTCAACCTCCCCCCTGAGAGAGAGAGAGAGACACCCAGACTCAGGGCTTGAACCCAGGATCTCAGCATCTCCCCTGAGAGAGAGAGAGACACACACACAGACTCAGGGCTTGAACCCAGGATCTCAGCGTCCCCCCCCCTGAGAGAGAGAGACACCCAGACTCAGGGCTTGAACCCAGGATCTCAGCGTCCCCCCTGAGAGAGAGAGAGAGACACCCAGACTCAGGGCTTGAACCCAGCATCTCGGCGTCCCCCCTGAGAGAGAGAGACACCCAGACTCAGGGCTTGAACCCAGGATATCAGCGTCCTCCCTGAGAGATACCCAGACTCAGGGCTTTAACCCAGGATCTCAGCGTCCCCCCCCCTGAGAGAGAAACACCCAGACTCAGGGCTTGAACCCAGGATCTCAGCGTTCCCCCCTGAGAGAGAAACACCCAGACTCAGGGCTTGAACCCAGGATCTCAGTGTCCCCCCTGAGAGAGAGAGACACCCAGACTCAGGGCTTGAACCCAGAATAACGACCCCTTCACTCGTTAGTGCCGAACGGTAACGCTGTAGTGAGCAGTGCCATGGGGGGAGGGCCAATTTCGATTGGCTATTCCCCCTCATGGCGTTTGTAGCCACCAGCGGCCAAAGGGGGTGCTCTGGATGGGTGCGAGTGGCTGGTAACCCATCCACCTTCAATTAATTACCACGAAACCACGAAAAAAGATCCAGCTAAGCTTGTGCACGTGTCTGCTGCTGTCCCCCCAGGAACCAGACGCCTGTCCCCGGGGGGACAGACATTATTGATGTCTGCAGGCCAAACCTCTCTTGGCGGAGCCAGGAGATTTGATCTTTACCCTTGGGAGTTCCTCCAGAAACAGCAAAAGGCCACTGAGGGTGCCCACGTGGAATGTTTGAACGCTCACTGCGGAGGAGAGGCTGCCACTCCTCTGTCGGCAGCTGGACCGGTACTGCCTGGATCACTGTGGTATTCAGGAGGTCCGGTGGTCCGGCTCTGGTTCTTATCACTGCCAAACAACAGGGAGTGGCTATTCTGAACAAAAAAATGAAGGGGGTGTGGGAGCGTGGCGGTGAGGTGTGGGAAGCTGTAAGCCCCAAACTACTTTGGGCTCGCCTTCCTATCAACCGGAGGCAAGGAGTGGTGGTCGTGGTTACTTATGGCCCCACCGAAGATGAACGTCCGTGGAGGGATGCAGGCAAAGCCGATGAGTCAGATGCCTTCTATGAACTCCTGTCACAGGTGCTGGCTAAAGTGGCCCCTTGGGATAGAGTCATTTTGTTGGATGACTTCCATGCCCGAGTTGGTCATGATGCTGGCACCTGGTCTGGAGTGATTGGAAGGCATGGGCCAGATCAGCTCAATAACAACGGTAGGAGGCTGCTAGATTTTTGTGCAGCCCATGGGCTTGTAATTACCAACACGGTGTTCCGGCATCGGCGCATCCACACAACATCATGGATGCATGCCGTGTCCAAGCAAGAACATCTGATGGACTATATAGTGACGGAACAGCGGATGCGAGCCCACGTCCTTGACACCAGGACCTACCGTGGAGCTGATCTGCCCACTGACCATCGACTTGTCATCTGTAAGATGCGCCTGCCATTCTTCTACTCCGGTGGTGGGTGTACACCTGCTCAACCATGTTATGTATGCCGATGATCTGGTAATTGCTGCTCATTCAGAGGAGGAGTTGGAGGTGCTGCTGCTGAACCTGGAGCTTGCCACTAAGAGGTTGGTCCTTGCCATCAGCCCCACCAAAACTAAGCACCTGCCTGGGTATTTTGTACCATCGGACACTCCACCCCCACAACTCCCAATTGGTGATGAGGCAGTTGTGGAGAGAGTGGAGAGTTTATCATACCTGGGCAGTGTACTCATGACCGGCTCCAGTTTAACAGCATAGTCTCACTCCAAAACAGTCGAGCGGCATTATCTTTTCATCAGTTGCGTAATGTGTGTAAGCTACCTGGTCTCTCGCTCCGCACGAAGCTTCAGGTCTTCTCGGCCACAGTCATTCCCTCCCTTCTCTACGCTTGCGATATGTGGACCGCTCTAATAGAACATCTTTGCCAGTTAGAAACCAGCGAAGATGTTGAAAGATCTGGGCAAGGTCCCATCGGTGAGCTCCTCCGGCAGGCAAGGCTGCATTGGCTGGGTCATGTAGCCCGCATGCCCAGCCACCGTATGCCTAAACAGCTTTTGTTCGGCCGGACGAGGGGGCTAAACGGGCGCGGCACGGGCTAGAGAAGAGATGGAGTGATGTGGTACAGGAGGACGTGGAGCTGAGTGGACTTGCCGATGACTGGTACCAGCGGTGTCAAGATCGGCCTCTGTGGAGGAGGCTCGTGAAGGATGCTACTGGGCAGTTGGAGGCAGTCGCCCTCCAACAACAACGGAGGGCGGAGGAGCGACGCTCACAACAACGAGCGGAGCGCCGGGTGGCTAAAGCACAGCAAGTTGGCACAGTAGGGGGCACAGGTGGTGCATCAGCCACTCATCTCAGTCAGTCGACCCGTGGCACCTGCTGGGTCTGCCCCATGATCTCAGGCCCGCGGGCGTTCAACACTTCACCTGGCCTCAAGGTGCACGTGGTCTGGCACAAGCGTCGTGGTGACGTCACCGCCACTTAGTGGCGAATGGCGGTTGTTGTTGTGTGTCTGTACCTGTGTGTGTGCGTGTGCCCGTGTGTACCCGTGTGTGCCCGCGTGTGTGTGTATGCGTGTACCCGTGTGTGTGTGTACCCGTGTGCGTGTGTACCTGTGTGTGTGTGCGTGTACCCGTGTGTGTGTGTGCGCGTGTGTGTGTGTGTGCGTGCGTGTGTGTGTGTGTGCGTGTGTACCCGTGTGTGTGTATGCGTGTGTACCCGTGTGTGTGTATGCGTGTACCCGTGTGTGTGTGTGCCCGTGTGTGTGTGTGTGTTTGTGTACCCGTGTGTGTGTATGCGTGTACCCGTGTGTGTGTGTGCGTGTGTACCCGTGTGTGTGTATGTGTGTACCCGTGTGTGTGTGTGTACCCGTGTGCGTGTACCCGTGTGTGTGTGTGTGTATGTGTGTACCCGTGTGTGCGCGTGTACCCATGTGTGTGTGTGCGTGTGTGTATGTGTGTACCCATGTGTGTGTGTGTGTGTACCCGTGTGTGTGTGTGTTTGTGTGTGTGCGTGTGTACCCGTGTGCGTGTGTACCCGTGTGTACCCATGTGTGTGTGTGTGTATGTGTGTACCCGTGTGTGTGTGTGTACCCGTGTGCGTGTACCCGTGTGTGTGTGTATGTGTGTACCCGTGTGTGTATGTGTGTACCCATGTGTGTGTGTGTGTGTACCCGCGTGTGTGTGTGTGCGTGTGTACCCGTGTGCGTGTACCCATGTGTGTGTATGTGTGTGTCCGTGTGTGTGTGTGTGTATGTGTGTGTCCGTGTGTGTGTGTGTGTATGTGTGTGTCCGTGTGTGTGTGTGTTTGTGCGCCAGGCCAACTTTCCGTGTGGGTGATCACACCCACCCCGTGCCCATGGCGCTGTTTTCCGACAACCGGCGCCGCCTGTGCGAGCGCCTCCGTGCCCGCGCCGCCGCCACGGCCGGCGATGCCGGTGGTGCCGGTGGTGCCGGTGGTGCCGGTGGTGCCGGTGGTGCCGGTGGCGGCGCCTGGGTGGTGCTGCAGGGTGGCGAGCAGACTCAGCGCTACTGCACCGACACCGACGTGCTGTTCAGGCAGGTGAGTCACCCGCCTGGTCACCCAGCTAGTCACCCAGCTAGTCACCCAGCTAGTCACCCAGCTAGTCACCCAACTAGTCACCCAGCTAGTCACCCAGCTAGTCACCCAGCTAGTCACTCACCTGGTCACCCACCTGGTCACCCACCTGGTCACTCACCTGGTCACCCACCTGGTCACTCACCTGGTCACCCACCTGGTCACCCACCTGGTCACCCACCTGGTCACCCACCTGGTCACTCACCTGGTCACCCAGCTGGTCACCCACCTGGTCACCCACCTGGTCACCCACCTGGTCACTCACCTGGTCACCTGCCTGGTCACCCACCTGGTCACTCACCTGGTCACCCACCTGGTCACCCACCTGGTCACCCACCTGGTCACTCACCTGGTCACCCACCTGATCACTCACCTGGTCACCCACCTGGTCACTCAGCTAGTCACCCAGCTAGTCACCCACCTGGTCACCCACTACCACCACCATCATCACCACTACCACCATCATAATCATCGCCACCACCACCACGATCATCAGCATCACCACCACCATCATCACCACCTCCACCACCACCATCATCACCCTCCTACTGCCCTTCTCACCCCCCCCCGCCCCCCAGGAGTCGTTCTTCCACTGGCTCTTCGGGGTGCAGGAGGCCGACTGCTTCGGCGCGCTGAGCGTGGACTCGGGACGCTCGCTGCTCTTCGTGCCCAAGCTGCCCGAGGTGTACGCCACCTGGATGGGCGCGTGAGTCGCTCACCAGCTCGCTCACCCGCTCGCTCACCAGCTCACTCGCTCACCCACTCGCTCACCAGCTCGCTTTCCAGCTCGCTCACTAGCTCACTCACCAGCTCGCCCCCTCGTTCACCCGCTCACCCGCTCGCTCACCAGCTCACTCGCTCGCTCACCCACTCGCTCACCCACTCGCTTGCCAGCTCGCCCCCTCGCTCACCCGCTCACCAGCTCGCTCACTCGCTCACCCGCTCACTCACCCGCTCGCTCACCAGCTCGCTCACCAGCTCACTCGCTCACCCACTCATTCGCTCACCCACTCACCCACTCACTCGCTCACCCACCCACTCACCCACCCACCCACCCACTCACCCACCCACCCACCCACCCACTCACCCACCCACCCACCCACCCACCCACCCACTCACCCACCCACCCACCCACCCACCCACTCACCCACCCACCCACTCACTCACCCACCCACTCACCCACCCACCCACCCACTACCCACCCACTAATCCACCCACCCACTCACCCACTCACTCACCCACCCACCCACTCACCCACCCACCCACGCACTCACCCACCCACTCACCCACCCACCCACCCACTCACCCATTCACTCATTCACTCACTCACTCACCCACCCACTCACTCACTCACTCACCCACCCACCCACTCACCACTCACCCACCCACCTACCCACCCAACGACCCACTCACTCACCCACCCACTCACCCACCCACTCACCCACCCACCCACTAACCCACCCACCCACCCACTCACCCACCCACCCACTAACCCACCCACCCACTAATTCACTCACCCACCCACTCACCCACCCACTCACTCACTCACCCACTCACCCACCCACCCACTCACTCACTCACTCACCCACCCACCCACTCACCCACCCACTCACCCACCCACCCACTCACCCACTCACCCACCCACCCACCCACCCACCCACCCACCCACTCACCCACCCACCCACCCACCCACTCACCCACTCACCAATCCACCCACTCACCCACCCACACACCCACCCAACCACTCACCCACCCAACCACCCACCCACTCACTCACCCACCCACCCACCCACTCACCCACCCACACACTCACCCACCCACACACTCACCCACCCACACACCCACCGACCCACCCACTCACCCACCCACCCACTCACCCACCCACCCACCCACTCACTCACCCACCCACCCACACACCCACCCACTCACCCACCCACCCACCCACACACCCACCCACCCACCCACCCACACACCCACCCACCCACCCACACACCCACCCACCCACCCACTCACACACTCACCCACCCACCCACCCACTCACCCACCCACCCACCCACTCACCCACCCACTAACCCACCCACACACCCCACGTGTCTCCCCAGGATCCACCCCCCACAGCACTTTGTGACGAAGTACGGCGTGGACGAGGTTCACTTCACCTGCGACGTGAGCGCCATGGCCCTCCCCTAGGTCCACTCAGCCTACACCGCCCTGCTGGTGGTGGGGTTGGTGGTGGTGGTGGCGGTGATGGTGGGGTGGTGGAGGTGGTGGTGGTGGTGGTGGAGGTGGTGGTGGTGGAGGTGGTGGTGGTGGTGGTGGTAGAGGTGAAGGTGGTTGTGGGGGTGGTGGAGGTGGTGGTGGTGGTGGTGGAGGTGGTGGTGGAGGTGGTGATAGAGGTGATGGTGGTGGTGGAGGTGGTGGTGGTGGAGGAGGTGGTGGAGGAGGTGGTGGTGGTGGTCGAGGTGGTGGTGGTGGTGGAGGAGGTGGTGGAGGAGGTGGTGGTGGTGGGGGTGGTGGTGGTGGTGGTGGCGGTGATGGTGGTGGCGGTGATGGTGGTGGCGGTGATGGTTGCGGTGATGGTGGCGGTGATGGTGGTGGTGGCGGTGATGGTGGCGGTGGTGATGGTGGCGGTGGTGGTGGCGGTGGTGGTGGTGGCGGTGATGGTGGCGGTGATGGTAGTGGCGGTGATGGTGGCGGTGATGGTGGTGGCGGTGATGGTTGCGGTGATGGTGGCGGTGGTGGTGGTGGCGGTGATGGTGGCGCTGATGGTGGTGGCGGTGATGGTAGTGGCGGTGATGGTGGTGGTTGTAGCGGTGGTGGTGATGGTGGCGGTATATGTCTTTATTTGTATGTATCTTTGTGCATGTATCTCTGTGTATCTCTGTGTGTGTATCTCTGTGTGTGTATCTCTGTGTGTGTATCTCTGTGTGTCTCTCTCTGTGTCTCTCTCTGTGTGTCTCTCACTGTGTGTCTCTCTCTGTGTGTCTCTCTCTGTGTGTCTCTCTGTGTGTGTATCTCTGTATGTGTCTCTCTCTGTGTGTCTCTCTGTGTGTGTATCTCTGTATGTGTCTCTCTCTGTGTGTCTGTGTGTGTGTGTATCTGTCTCTCTGTGTGTATCTCTCTCTGCGCGTATCTCTGTGTGTGTATTTGTCTCTGTGTCTCTCTGTGTGTGTATCTGTCTGTGTCTCTGTGTGTATCTCTGTGTGTATCTCTGTGTGTATCTGTCTCTTTGTGTGTCTCTCTCTCTGTGTGTGTCTCTGTGTGTTTCTCTCTGTATGCGTCTCTCTCTGTGTGTCTCTCTGTGTGTGTATCTCTGTATGTGTCTCTCTCTGTGTGTCTCTCTGTGTGTGTATCTTTGTATGTGTCTCTCTCTGTGTGTCTCTGTGTGTGTATCTGTCTCTCTGTGTGTATCTCTCTCTGCGCGTATCTCTGTGTGTGTATTTGTCTCTGTGTCTCTCTGTGTGTGTATCTGTCTGTGTCTCTGTGTGTATCTCTGTGTGTATCTCTGTGTGTATCTGTCTCTTTGTGTGTGTATCTCTCTGTGTGTCTCACTCTCTGTGTGTATCTCTCTGTGTGTGTATCTCTGTGTGTCTCTGTGTGTGTGTATCTGTCTCTCTGTGTGTGTCTCTCTGTGTGTGTATCTCTCTCTGTGTATCTCTCTCTGTGTCTCTCTGTGTGTATCTCTCTCTGTGTGTCTCTCTGTGTCTCTCTCTGTGTGTATCTCTCTGTGTGTGTATCTCTGTGTGTCTCTCTCTCTCTGTGTATCTCCGTGTGTGCTGTGTAGATTGCTCAAGTGTTGGAGGGGAAGTCTCCGAGCGTGCTGCTCACGTTGGTGAGTACCAACACGGGGACCCTCGTGGGTGGGTGGGTAGGTGGTTGAGTGGGTGGGTAGGTGGTTGAGTGGGTGGGTGGGTATGTGGGTGGGTAGGTGGTTTTGGTGGGTCGATGGGTAGGTGGGTAGGTGGGTAGATAGATAGGTGGGTGGGTGCGTAGGTGGGTGGGTGGCTAGGTAGATGGGTGGGTAAGTGGGTGGGTGGTTGAGTGGGTGGGTGGTTTAGTGGGTGGTTGGGTGGTTGAGTGGGTGGGTGGTTGGGTGGGTGGCTGGGTGAGTGAGTGGGTGGCTGGGTGAGTGAGTGGGTGGGTGGCTGGGTGGGTGGGTGGTTGGGTGAGTGGGTGAGTAGGTGGGTGGATGGGTGGGTGAGTGGGTGGATGGATGGGTGAGTGAGAAGGTGGGTGGATGGGTGGGTGAGTAGGTGGGTGGATGGGTGGGTGAGTGGGTGGGTGGATGGGTGGGTGAGTGGGTGGGTGGATGGGTGGGTGAGTATGTGGGTGGATGGGTGGTTGAGTAGGTGGGTGGATGGGTGGGTGAGTAGGTGGGTGGATGGGTGGGTGAGTAGGTGGGTGGATGGGTGGGTGAGTAGGTGGGTGGATGGGTGGGTGAGTAGGTGGGTGGATGGGTGGTTGAGTAAGTGGGTGGGTGAGTGGGTGGGTGAGTAGGTGGGTGAGTAGGTGGGTGAGTAAGTGGGTGAGTGGGTCAGTGCTGGGGACTGCTTGCTGCTAAAGATGTTGATGCTGCTGATGATGAGGATGCTGATGATGGTGATGCAAATGCTGATGATGCTGATGGTGGTGATCTATTTCAGAGGGGCGTCAACACGGACAGCGGCCACACCTCCCGTGAAGCGGCCTTCGAAGGGATCAGCCGGTGAGATGATCCCCCACGGTCTAGAGTACCTGGGTTCAACTCTAGACACTGACCCTGAGACCCGGTCTCTACTCTACACACTGAGACCCTGAGACCTGGTCTCTACTCTAGACACTGAGACCCTGAGACCCGGTCTCTACTCTAGACACTGAGACCCGGTCTCTACTCTAGACACTGAGACCCTGAGACCTGGTCTCTACTCTAGAACCTGAAACCCGGTCTCTACTCTAGACACCGAGACACTGAGACCCGGTCTCTACTCTAGACACTGAGACCCAGTCTCTACTCTAGACACTGAGACCTGGTCTCTACTCTAGACACTGACCCTGAGACCCGGTCTCTACTCTAGACCCTGAACCTGAGACCCGGTCTCTACTCTAGACCCTGACCCTGAGACCCGGTCTCTACTCTAGACCCTGACACTGAGACCCGGTCTCTACTCTAGACACTGACCCTGAGACCTGGGTCTCAACTGTTGACTTTCTGTGTTCTCTGTGCGGTGTTTTTCAGGTTCACGGTGAACAACACGATACTTCACCCTGAGATCAGTGAATGGTGAGTTCACCTGGACCAGCATAATGGCCGTGTCAGAGACACCGAGAGCCGGGGTTCAATCCCTGGGTCTATAGGCACTGCTGCTACTACTCACAGCACTTGCCCCTCAGCCCTGCTAGAGGCTACACGGGGACCATTGTCTGTGTTTCTATAGGGCACTGCTGCTGCTACTAACAGTACTTGCCCCTACAGCCCTGCTAGAGGCTACACGGGGGACCTTTGTCTGTGTGTCTATAGGGCACTGCTGCCTCTACTAACAGCACTTGCCCCTACAGCTCTGCTAGAGGCTACACGGGGGACCTTTGTCTGTGTGTCTATAGGCACTGCTGCTACTCACAGCACTTGCCCCTACAGCCCTGTTAGAGGCTACACGGGGGACCTTTGTCTGTGTCGTTCCCAGCCGCGTTTTTAAGAGCCACATGGAGCTGGAGCTCCTGCGCTACACCAACCGTGTCTCCAGCGAGGCTCACAAGGAGGTGGGGTGGAGCTCACCCACCCAATCACTCACCCACCCACTCACGCATCCACCCACTCACCCACCCACTTACGCACCCACCCACCCACTCACCCACCCACCCACCCACTCAATCACTTACTCAGTCACTGAACCATTCGCTCAACCACCCACCCACTCTCCCACCCACCCAGTCACCCACCCACCCACTCACCCACCCATTCACGCATCCACCCACTCACCCACCCACTTACGCACCCACCCACTCACCCACCCACCCACCCACTCAATCACTTACTCAGTCACTGAACCATTCGCTCAACCACCCACCCACTCTCCCACTCACCCACTCACCCACGCACTAACTCACTCACCCACTCACCCACTCACTCACCCACTCACTCACCCACTCACTCACTCACCCACTCACCCACGCACTAACTCACTCGCCCACTCACCCACTCTCTCACTCACCCACCCACCCACTAACTCATCCACCCACCCACTCACTCACCCACCCACTCACTCACCCACCCACTCACTCACTCACTCACCCACTCACTCACCCACTCACTCACTCACTCACCCACTCACCCACGCACTAATTCACTCGCCCACTCAGTCACCCACTCACCCACTCACTCACTCTCTCACTCACCCACTCACTCACCCACCCACTCACTAACTCATCCACCCACCGACCCACCCACTCACTCTCTGTCTCTGTGCGCAGGTCATGAAGAAGATCCGACCTGGCATGATGGAGTTTGAGATGGAGAGGTGAGCATTTGGTGGGGGGGAGCGGGGAGTTGGGGGGGGCGGTGGGGGGGGGGGGTGGCTGGGGTGAGCGGATCACACCAAGATGGAAAACCAATGACAACACGGAAGACTCATCACACAGCAGAGACCCACAGACTCATCACACAGCAGAGAGCCATAGACTCATCACACAGCAGAGAGCCATAGACTCATCACACAGCAGAGAGCCATAGACTCATCACACAGCAGAGAGCCATAGACTCATCACACAGCAGAGAGCCATAGACTAATCACACAGCAGAGACCCATAGACTCATCACACACAGAGACCCAGAGACTCATCACACAGCAGAGACCCATAGACCCATCACACAGCAGAGACCCATAGACTCATCACACAGCAGAGACCCATAGACTCATCACACAGCAGAGACCCATAGACTCATCACACAGCAGAGACCCAGAGACTCATCACACAGCAGAGACCCATAGACTCATCACACAGCAGAGAGCCATAGACTCATCACACAGCAGAGACCCATAGACTCATCACACAGCAGAGAGCCATAGACTCATCACACAGCAGAGATCCGTAGACTCATCACACAGCAGAGACCCACAGACTCATCACACGGAGACCCATAGACTCATCACACAGCACAGACCCGTAGACTCATCACACAGACGCTTAGACTCACACCCAAACCCATGGACTCACACAGAGATCCACAGAGACACATAGAGACCCTTAGAGACAAGGTCTCAGAGCCGATGGGTTTGGTGATGGCGTTGCGAGCTTCGTGCGCCACCTACGGATTCCTGCACTTCCTTCCCTTGATTGTGCGTGTGTGTGTGAATGTGTGTGTGTGTGTGAATGTGCGTGCGCGTGCGTGTGTGCGTTAATGTGTGAGAGAGTGTGAGTGTGGAGTGCGTCCGTGAGAGCGAGCGAGTGTGTGTGTGTGATTGTGTGTGTGATTGTGCGTGCGTGAGCGTGCGTGCGTGTGTGTGTGAGAGAGTGTGAGTGTGGAGTGCGTCCGAGAGAGCGAGCGAGTGTGGGTGTGTGTGATTGTGTGTGTGTGTGATTGTGTGTGTGTGTGTGCGTGCGCGTGCGTGCTTGTGTTAATGTGTGAGAGAGTGTGGATTGTGTCCGTGAGAGTGAGCGAGCGAGTGTGTGTGTGTGTGATTTTGCATGCATGCGTGTGTGTGTGATCGTGTGTGTGTGTGTGAATGCGCGTGCGTGTGCATGCGTGAATGCGTGAGAGAGTGTGGAGTGCGTCCGTGAGAGTGAGCGAGCGAGTGTGTGTGTGTAATTGTGCGTGCGTGTGTGTGTGATTGTGTGTGTGTGTGAATGCGCGTGCGTGTGCATGCGTGAATGCGTGAGAGAGTGTGGAGTGCGTCCGTGAGAGTGAGCGAGCGAGTGTGTGTGTGTGTGATTGTGCATGCGTGAGAGCGTAAGTGTGAGTGTGGAGTGGGTCCGTGAGAGCGAGCGAGTGTCTGGTGTGAATGCGCGTGCGTGTGTGTGTCAATGTGCGTGTGTGTGTGATTGTGTGTGTGCCAATGCGGTTTCAGGAAAGGGCGGTTCTGCACAGATGCCATATTTTCTGTCCGTCTGCTACAGCAGAGGTGTAGGGAATTCCAGCAAGACCTACATCTCTGTTTTATTGACCTGGTCAAGGCCTGTGATACCATCAGTAGGCCTGGGCTCTAGATTGTTCTTTGTGCTTTTGGAGTCCCTGACCCTCTGCTCACGATCATTAAGGACCTTCATGATGGTGAGCGGGCCTGGGTAAAACTACGTGGCCGGGAGTCAGAGCCATTCCTTGTACACCTTGGGGTGCGACAGGGATGTCTCTGGCTCCCACATTATTTAACATCTATTTTGACCACGTAGTTCGTGAAGCCTTCAGTAGCTGTACTGGGGGAATTTCCATTTCGTACAGGTATAATGGGAAGCTGATCGATGCCCGGGTGCAGTCAAGGGATCACTCCCTATTGCTCAACCACGTTATTTATGCCGATCTGGTAATTGCTGCTCATTCAGAGGAGGAGTTGGAGACGCTGCTGCTGAACTTAGGATCAGCCCCACCAAAACTAAGCACCTGCCTGGGTATTTTGTACCATCGGACACTCCATTTCCACAACTCTCAATCGGTGATGGGGCAGTTGTGGAGAGAGTGGAGAGTTTCCCATACCTGGGCAGTGTGCTTATGACTGGCTCCAGTTTAACAGCAGAGGTCTCACTCCGAATCAGTCGAGCGGCAATATCTTTTCATCAGTTGCGTAACGCTGTGTGGAAGCTACCTGGTCTATCGCTCCGCACGAAGCTTCAGGTCTTCTCGGCCACGGTCATTCCCTCCCTTCTCTACGCTTGTGAAATGTGGACCCCCCCTAATGGAACATCTTCGCCAGAAACATTTAGGCTCGCCTGCCTACGATCCATCCTGGGTTTAACCAGGCTGGATTGTGTGAGGAGCTCACAAATCCTTGAAAGATCTGGACAGAGTCCCATCGGTGAGTTCCTCCGGCAGGCAAAGCTGCGCTGGCTGGTCCATTTAGCCCGCATGCCCATCCGGATCGAGGGGGTGAAACGGGCGTGGCACGGGCTAGAGAAGAGATGGAGTGATGTGGTACAGGAGGACGTGGAGCTGAGTGGACTTGCCGATGACTGGTACCAGCAGTGTCAAGATCGGCCTCAGTGGAGGAGGCTCGTGAAGGACGCTACTGGGCAGTTGGAGGCAGTCGCCCTCCAACAACAACGGAGGGCGGAGGAGCGACGCTCACAACAACGAGCGGAGCACCGGGTGGCTAAAGCACAGCAGGTTGGCACAGTAGGGGGCACAGGTGGTGCATCAACCAATCATCTCAGTCAGTCGACCCGTGGCACCTGGGTCTGCCCTGTGACCTGCCAGCGGGCGTTCGACACTTCACGTGGCCTCAAGGTGCACATAGCCTGGCACAAGCGTCGTGGTGACGTCACCGCCACTTAGTGGCGAATGGCGGTTATTGTTGTGTGTGTCTGTGCGAGTGTGTGTGGGGAGCGGTAGTGCAGCGGTTAGCGCTACGCTGCGCTACGAACCCGGTGGCCCGGGTTCAATTCCCGCTCATGGCCAACACCACCAGTGACGATTATCTGAACCGGTCCTGGGGCCTCCTCTAGGTCGACTTAGCCTCAAATGGGTAGCTGGTGTAGCGGTGTGTAGTAAACATCGCCACTGGGGAGACAAAGGCGGCCGGGCGTGGTGCTGGCCACCCACCCCCTCGTGTCCCGTGCCGCTCTTCATAGGTGCTGCTGCTCGCTAACTGCACTTGCCCCAACAGTCTGTCACAGGCTACACGGGGGATCTTTGTCTTGTTGTGTGCCACAGCGTCGGCCCTCGGAGGCGTGTCTGCTACTCGCTGCTAACATTACTTGCCCCTACAGCCCTCTTAGAGGCTACACGGGGGACCTTTGTCTTTGTTCGTGCGTCCGTGAGTTTCCGGTAATTAGGAGGTCAAATCACATGAAAGTTTCATTAATTATTTTTGTAAGTAAACAAAAAAGTTAAATAATTATATATTCATACCTGAGTCGTAGCTGGGTCGGCTGAGTTCACAGCGTTACTGTGTGAGTCTATGGGTCTCTGTGTGGTGAGTCTATGGGTCTCATTGTGATGAGTCTGAGTATCTGTGTGATGAGTCTATGGGTCTCTGTGTGGTGAGTCTCTGGGTCTCTGTGTGGTGAGTCTATGGGTCTCTTTGTGGTGAGTCTATGGGTCTCTGTGTGGTGAGTCTATGGGTCTCTGTGTGGTGAGTCTATGGGTCTCTGTGTGGTGAGTCTATGGGTCTCTGTGTGGTGAGTCTATGGGTCTCTGTGTGGTGAGTCTATGGGTCTCTGTGTGGTGAGTCTATGGGTCTCATTGTGATGAGTCTATGAGTATCTGTGTGATGATTCTATGGGTCTCTGTGTGGTGAGTCTCTGGGTCTCTGTGTGGTGAGTCTATGGGCCTCTGTGTGATGAGTCTATGGATCTCTGTGTGATGAGTCTATGGGTCTCTGCTGTGTGGTGAGTCTATGGGTCTCTGTGTGGTGAGTCTATGGGTCTTTGCTGTGTTGAGTGTGTGGGTCTCTCTGTGATGAGTCTATGGGTCTCTGTGTGGTGAGTCTATGGGTCTCTGTGTGGTGAGTCTATGGGTCTCTGTGTGACGAGTCTATGGGTCTCATTGTGATGAGTCTATGAGTATCTGCGTGATGAGTCTATGGGTCTCTGTGTGGTGAGTCAATGGGTCTCTGTGTGGTGAGTCTATGGGTCTCTGTGTGGTGAGTCTATGGGTCTCTGTGTGGTGAGTCTGTGGGTCTCTATATGGTGAGTCTATGGGTCTCGGTGTGATGAATCTACGGCGCTCTCACGCGCGTCTGTTCTTCTCACAACAACAACAACAAACACATTGGTGCGTCTCCATGGCCACCGGCGTTGTTGTTTGTGTGTTTAACCCCGCGAGCTTTTTGCCCCCGGACCATTGTGCAAAATAAGAGCCCGTCCACTTATTGCCTTTCCTTACTCATCGCTCACCCACTCAGTCTCCCATCGCCACAGTGCCACCCATCCACCCCCCTCCCCCCCCGCTCCCTCCCCCCAACGTTGTTCCCCGCGGAAGCGGATATCGCAGAGCTACCTCTGAGAGCCACCGGCGCCATCGCCCCCCCCCCCCCCCCTCCCCGGGTTCTCTGAGTGGCGCCGCGTTTCACGCGCGACGGAACCCCGCGGAAGCGGATATCGTAGGGCTACTTCTGAGGGAGAGCCGCTGTTGCAGAATCGCTGACACAGCCGCATTGCGAAACCCCCCCCCTCCCATCCCTACAGGCTCTCACGCCCTCCGGCACAGTCACCCAGACGCAGGGCTTGAACCCAGGCTCTCACGGCCTCCGGCACAGTCACCGTGAAGCCCCTGAGAGAGACACCCAGACCCAGGGCTTGAACCCAGGCTCTCAGTGTCTCTGACACGGCCATTATGAACCCCCTGAGAGAGAGAGACACCCAGACC